GTATGAATTGTGGAGATCAGTTGATGTCCTGTACTGAATTAATCATTTTGACTGAATTGATAGGTCATTTAGTTGCCCTCTCAGTCTTTCCTCCTCCTCCAAAAAGGTCCTAAATAATACTAGTTGTTTCCCCTGAGCAACTGAATTTTTTTTTTGTTGCCCAATTTTTTGAAGTAGTTTGGCTTGATGAAATTGAATGATTTGGCCAGTTTGGGAGCATCTAATAGGGCAAGTGCCAATGAATGATTCTTATATCACAGATACTTTAAAAAAAACTCTCTGAGGACCAATCTTAAATATAATCTATCTTCAGTTTGAGAAAAAGGGTTTCTGATGCATTTCTTGGTTTTGGAAGGCAAGTTCTTCCTCTATTCCTTCCTCTGTACTGCCCCTCCCCCATCCCTGCCAACCTTTATCTTCAGATTTTCATCTCCAAATCTTCATTTATTTCAATTACTTTTCTGTTATTTTACTATTAAAGTTTTACTTTATGGTTTATTCTATTGTTGAATAGTTGCAACTTTTTAAAAAAATTAACGAACCATCCAGGTGCCATGAAGCTAAAATAGAAATACAAAAGAAAAACCCCAAAGAACTGAAATCATAGGAGTTTTATCTTATCTTAGGCCAATGCCTTTTAAAATGCTTTAATTTTGAAGATTGACTAAGGAAGAACACAAACTTTGGCTGCTTCTCAGCAAGCCTAAGAAAACCCTGTCTAAAACAGTGTTTCCCCTAGCATACTTACACTTACCAAGGATTGACTCCCAAAACTGATGTAAGACCCCTGGAGAGCACCTCCTTGCATTTTTCCTTGGGTTGAACTTTATATTTCAAAATGAAAAGTAAAGGAATATGAGAGGAGTACTTCTACAGCCAAGAAAGAGTTGTTTCTTTAAAAGCTTATTATGATCTCTAGAACATAAAATAGATGCAATGATAAGGGATTAAGAAGATTCAGAAGCAGATCAGACAAGAGACCAAAGAAGAGAGAGGGGCAGAGACTGAGAGAGACAGAGACAGATGGAGAGAGATAGAGAGATCATAGATTTTAGAACTGAAGGAGACCTTAGAGGTTATTTAGTCCAATACCCTCATTTTTCAGATGAGGAAACTGAAGCCTGGAGAGATTATATGACTTACTGAATTTTGCACATGAAATAAGTGACAGAGTAAGGATTTGAACTTAGGTCCTTTGACTCTAAATACAGTAATCTTATGAATGCTCCAATTCCCACAACTAAATTGTAAAGGCTGTTGATCTTCCTTCTCTTTGGGCAGTATTCCTACTATACATATTGCAAGGCCAGACTCTGGGCAGCTGAGTTGTGGTATTTTATGTAGATTCAGGGCATGGACCCAGGACTGAGAAGAGAAGAAAAACCCTTTAGGAGGTGGGAAGAGTTCTAAAATGAGGCTGTTTCTCATATGTAAAACTCTTTCTATTACTTTCCCTTTTTAGGAAAAAAACTCAAGTAGCTATGGTAGATGCAGCATTTTCATACCACCACTATTCTATTCCCTCAAAAAAAAGTCGGGTATTGATATTACAGGTCTGGGACCTAGAGTCAGGAAGAAACAAGTCCAAATCTAGCCTTAGACACTTGCTAGCTGTGTGACTTTGGGGGGGATTACTTAACTGCTCTCTGCCTCACTTTCTTCATTTGTAAAATGGAGATAGTAATAGCACCCACCTCCTAGCACTACTTAAGAGGTATAAATGAGATAATATTTGTAAAGTACTTTGTAAATCTTTATTATTATTACTACCACTGTTACTACTATTATTATTACTATTGCTATAAGACCCGACAAGAAAAGTTAAATTTCTGAGTATGTGCCCCAGGACCCCAAGATCCCCAAATGAATATTTCCCATTGTTACTTACAATTGCAATATTAAGAGTCTTCTCCCAGTTTTCTGAGCTATGCCTTCTCTCCTCTGGCATCATCACTACACTGTCCCATCTGCTGCCCCAAACAGGCATCTTCTTCTGTCTCTAGCTGACCTCCAAGGTCCCTTCTCACCCTAAGTCTACGATCCTATAATCCAGCTGTTCTGGATATCCATAGTTCTCCCCTCTAACGTCCTCTAGATTCTAGTAGAGGAAGTCCAAGAATCCCTACCCTAGTATGGTCAGACGCTATAGCTCTCGTCCTTCAGAAGGTACAGCTCTGGCAATATCTATGAATCTCCTGAGGTTCTCTACTTTCTAGCAGAAGCTCAAGATTTCCTTTCCTAGTTCCTTTGCTGGTCAGTAGCAATAGCTACATCCTTCTGAATGCTCAGCTCTGGCAATGCTAGGTGTCAGAATTGGCATCTCCCCTTTGTCTTCAAACCAATGACTTTTGCATGCTTACAGACCACTCACCCAGGAAGTAGAGTTTGTGTCCCCTACAGAGAAGAGCATGACACTGATATTATTTACAGATAGGGTAACTATAAATTCACCCCACTCCTAATGCACTTCCTGCTTTCAAAATTAAAGTTCACTATCTCTTCCCAAGGGAATATTCCCTGCTGCTCCAAGGATTTTTCTGATATTACTCCAGTAGAGCCATGAATTCTCCTTCCAAGGGGATCACAGCCAATTAATTTATACTTTCCCCTATGGGAAGACCATTGTCCCTTTCTACCCATGGATCATCAGTAAAGGGTTCACATCTTAGAAGTCCTCTTCCAAGTAGTTTAACATTATGTGAGATCCAGCTCAGTACTCTAGCTGTTTTTCTGTTACCACTGGCCTCCTAAAGGACACCCTCACCATTCCCCATGTCCTTAAGCATTTGGTTGGAATTTTCCAAGTTCCTCATGGCTGAAGACAGGCCAATGCTAGTCACCAGTTACACAATAGGTTCCTAAAAAAGCAAGACCACAGTTCTCCTAAATAAGCCTGGGGGAGATCATAGCTCAGAGTTCTCTCTTAATCTAACGTAGGGAGATACAGTTTCTAGGTTTTTTTGTTGCTTCTTTAAAGAAATCTCATAGTTAAAGATTACAGAAAATTAGACTGGATGTCCCATTTCCCAGAAGTATTTAAATTACATTCATTCATTCCTTTAACTAACATTTTTTTGCCTAATGTACAAGATTAATTTATGGGCCAAATATGGACCAGAATATTCTCATAATAAATCCAGGAAATTTTGAATATTTTGCACTAATAACCAGACACATGATAGAGACATATGACCTAAGAGAGACTTTAGAGAATATTGAGTCCAACTCTGTTATTTTGTAGATGAGGAAACTGAGGCCCAAAGGGGTCAAATTAGTGGCAAAACCAGAATTAGAAAACCAGACTGGATCTCTGATCTATAGCCATTCCACTGCCCCTTTAGTAGTATTTCAACAGAATTCACTAACAATCCCAATCAGTTGAGAACTATTCATAACTGGTACTGCAGAAAGGGACAACCATGTGGTACAGTAGATAGAGCAGTGGACCTGGAGTCAGGAAAACTTGAGTTCAAATCTAGTCTCAGATACTTCCTAGCTTTGTGATCCTGGGCAGTGACTTAACCCTGTTTGCCTCAGTTTCCTCATTTGTAAAATGAGCTAGAGAAGGACATGGCAAACCACTCCAGTATCTTTGTCAAGAAAATCAGACGCAGATGAAACAACTCAATAACAAAACCATATAAATAGGAACTATGTGCTATTTAATCTTACATTTTAAAGTAAAATCTGAGAAATTAGCAAATTATCCATTATGTATAAAAATGACCTTCAGGTCCTGCCTATGATTCATATTGGCTGCATGACCCTGGTAAGTCACTTATATTTTTAGTGCCCCTAGCTACTGAGACTTTAAGTTGTAGAATAGCTACATTATTAAGCATTACTAAAAGGAGTTTCCTCACCAACTGTTTACCCCTCCCCCCTCACATCAATAGAATCATAGGTCCAGACAAACACACACACACACACACACACACACACACACACACACACACACACACACAGACGAAGAAGGGTAAAATCCATTATGAAACTGGGTTTAAATTTATTTTCAAGAACACTGGGCAGTATTAAATCAGTTCAATTCAACAAGCATTTCTTAGGCTCCTACTATGTATAAGGCACTGTGCTAGATGTGGGGGTACAAAAAAAAAACAAAGCAAGGAGCTTACTTTCTATCTTGAATGCTTCAGCAATGTTAATCAGGAAGGAGCAAAGGAGGTTGGCATCCAGAATATGACATTAAAAATATGGAGTTCAGATATTGTTTTGCAGGTTACTCTTTGGCCTCTAGATACCCATGTAGGTAATGACATTGATACTTTCCATCCATTACCTATTTCTTTCTTTGTCTACCCCTGGACTTCAGAACTACTGAAATAGTTCTGGTACATTTATTGCAAATACCAATCCCTTTTGTTAAGGCACAACTTGTGGTTTTGGCCATCTGGCCATCTAGAAATTAGACTTTTTTGTTTTAATAAGAAACTAGACCACAGTCTTACTCTCTGATTTCATACCATATACATGAGATATGAGTCACATAGGGTGGAGTCAATTTTTCTTTTCCCAAGAAAAGTTTCTCTCCTACTTCTCTCTCATTTGATATAAATTATCCTTTTTCAACATCTCCATCCTGTTGCCTCCCCCTCTTCCTCTTTCTTCATCCATGATCAACTTCCTGCTCTAAAGAGCTTTGTGGTCACCACTCTGATCCTGCTACCCAGCTGTTCATTGTTTAGGCTATGGTCTATGTAGCTTTTCTGACCAACTGTGGTTGTTCCACAGAACCACATTGTCATATATCCTCAGAACTAGTTTAGGAAAGGCTATTTGGTAACTACTGATTTGGGTGAGATTCAAACTGATCATTAAAATGTCAAGGCAGTGAGCCAAATGGTAATTCCTCCAAATGTGGACAAACTCAGCTCCCATTATGAATTGGGCTTCTGGAAAATTACTTGTGACTTCCTAATGACTTGCAGCTCTTCACAAACTTGAATACTTTTAATTTACTTTATATTTTACTTTGTTTCTAGGTCAAGATGTTATTAAGCATAAAAAATATTTTATGGATGTACTCTACGTTGGGTGTAATACATGCAGTACGTGAAGGTGAGTAAAGGTGGTAAATTTCCAGAGGTGATTTCTGAATATGGAATTTGAGTGCTTAAGAGTGAAATGGGAATATGGATTTTCTGAAAATAAAGACTAGTTTTTTATACCTCTGGGCTAGGAACTTTTAGTTAATACGGTTAGTCTCTGGATAACACTGGGCATCATAGTTGTACTTTTAAGATAAGAAACTTCCCAGGGAAAACATGTTCATTTTCAGCATATTCATAAACTAATTTCAATCTCATGACAAGTAGTCATGTGTAGAACTGGAAATGGTTTTCTCCATCATTTTTAAAGATAAAAATAGCAAACTTTGCAAAGGTTTCTTTTCAAAAATGGAGATTGTCATGTAACCAAACAAGTTCTCATGTCAAAGAGAAAAGGGGAAAGGGTGAAACATTTTATAGAGTTTTCAAGTCTGACTTAAGAAAACTATTATTTCCTACTTAACATGTCATTTTCCCCATCCTTCATTAAACACTCATCAGACCAGAAATTGTATAGGTGCATTAAATAAAAATAGATAAAGAAAAGACAGGCAAATAAATTTTCACTTTAATTTAAGGGCTTTATAATTTAAAAATATGTATCCTAGCTTTATATAAGCTATATATCCTAGATTTAATTTTAACCCAAGTAAAGGAATTATGGTTTTAATTCCAAAAACATTTATGTAGCACTTTAAGATTTACAAAACACATTATACACATTATCTCTTTTGAACCTAACAACCCTGTAAAATATGATAGTACAAATGTTATCATCCTCATTTTATAGATGGGGAACTAAGACTCAGACAAATAAAGTGATTCATCAATGTCACTAAATTAAGTGACAGAGCTGGGCCTTTTAAAAAAAAGGTCTGATTAGAATCTATTTGTAAAGCTATTAACCCTGACCAGATTGTCCCTTCAGTGTGAACATATGACCCATTTTCATTGTTACTGGTTGATTATTAAGTATTAGTAATACCAGTAGCATTACTGATTATCATGACAGTAAGAACTATGGTAAACCCATTGTCTAGTCTTCTTTCATTGTGATGCTTAAGTCAATAGTCAAGAGATTAGACCCCAAAGAAAGCATGAGCAAAAGTTCTACTCTGTTCACTTCTAGTGGTAGCGTAATTTATTACACTGACCTCCACTTCTAAGTGACAGCAAAAACTGAAGAGGGATACAGGATTTGGAATTTTTTGCAAAGCCAAATGATCTGTCTGGTGAGCTTTGTTAGCTAGGAGAAAAAGTAGCTGTGGCTTGACCCTCTGCCTGCTGCCTAGTGTCATGGGAATATGCCTGACCTTCCCTTCTGAAGGACCTACACTTAGCTGAAACTTAGACATCAGGGTTGTATCAGTGATAACAGGTCCAGCTCACTCCTATGCATTCAGCTAACTTGTGAAGCCAAAGGTGAAATGGGAAAGTTTGGGAGGTTAGCTTAGGTTGTTCTGGGCTCAGCCTGTAGGCACTTAATAGTTAACAAACAGTCTGGGAGCTGTTTAATAAGTTGCAAAGTGTCAAGTGAAAATGAAGCTCATAGAGAGGGAATAGGTGAGACTATGGAGGGAAGACGTGGAGATTTGTGACATGGTCATGAGATTAGATTATGTAAGGGTATGGTATAAAAGTAGTAGAGGTGGTATTATGATCCAGTAATGATATTTGGAATGGGATTTATACCTGTGATTTCACTGGTATTGAGAATTTCTGGATGAAGGAACTTCCTTTGCCAGTGGAGGTTGGCACTTGCTCTGCAATTTAAAATATCAGAGAGTTGCCTAGAGCATGGAGGTTAAGTGAGTCACCTAGGGTCACAGAGCCAGTATGTTTCAGAGGTAAAACTTGAACCCAGGTCTTTCTGGCTTCAAGGATGACTCACTGGACACTATACCATGATGCCTTCATCTAAAAACAAAAGAAAGCAATAACCCCAAATCACATGAGCAACAGCTCCCAGGGATTATTTTATAGTCAACATGGACATACCCTTTGGGTTGTAATAGATAGGTTGTAATAGATAGTTATCAACTCTTCCTTTGGATTAATTTCAAGAAAATTTTGTTTCTTCAGGTGAAAGAGAATGTAAGACATATGAAAAGTATTTGTATAACACTAACAAGATATGCAACATTAATCTGTGTTGTCAGGTCCAATAGTTCCATAGTAAGTTTTACTCTATTTATCCCAAGGCACTCAAGAGATTAATGACTAAAATTAATGAACACATTGTCTACTGATCATTAACTTTATGTTTACTCATGGAGAGCTGTTTGTCCATATGAGGTTGTGAACTGACCTAGTGACTGATAAAAACAAGAGTTCATGTAAGCTGGTAGAGGACATGGGGGAATGTGCCATGGAGAAAACGCTATATATTTGGACGGGGCAGTAGATTTTTCATATTGTTGGACACTTATATGTCACCAATTTTTTTGGGGGGGAGGGATCCTTTGGTCACATTGTGCAGATGGAATTTACATCATTACATCTGCTAGATTTACTGACAGAATAGAAGAAGTAACTGATCCTGCAGCATTTAAAACCAGGTTTACATCCCTTTCCTTTACTGCACTCACTTCCACCACAACCATCTGGTGAGAACAGTGAGTTTTTTGTTAGGACTTATTTTATTATTTTCATTGTCAAAGTTTAATATAAGCTCCTACAGGTAGCTTTTTTAAACTGTCTATAAACATTATATTCTAAAGAACTAAATTTCCTTCTTAAAATATTTAGATTTAGAGAACCTAGTTCTTTGGCCTCAGTATATTACACCAGATTTAATACACAAGAGACTTGGCCACACAGATATTTGTTAATACTTCTGTTAAACTTGGACTCTGGAAGACTATACATTCACATCCAACAAAATCTTTTAATTGCCCTATGCCTATAAACTTGTATTAAAATAAATATTTCTTGGCAAATATGCTTTCATCCAGTATTCAGTTCCAGCATGTTTTCTACCATACCAATGGCCACAGTGTCAGAAACATCCATTGGTCATTTGAGACCTAACCCTTTTCTGGCCCATAATCAAAGACTAGCTTAAAAAAGCTGGACCTGTGATTTTATCAATGCAGGGGGCTCCTAGTTAAAAACTCCCTCCACTAATGCAGATTGGTACCAGCGTTGCATCTTATAGCCTTAGAAATTTACCGGGGGCGGGGGAGGTGCAGCTATGTGGTTCAGTGGATAGAGCTCTGGCCTTGGAGTCAGGAGGACCTGAGTTCAAATCTGGCTTCAGATACTTGACACTTACTAGCTTTGTGATCCTGGGCAAGTCACTTGACCCCAATTGCCTCACCACAAAAAAGAAAAAATGAAGTTACTTGGAACACTGAGAGTACAAATGACTTGTCCAGGGTCATATGAGCAGTGTTTCAGAGGTTGAATTTGAACCCAGGTCTTGCTGACTCTGAGGTCAGCTTTCTATCCATTAATCGACACTATCTCCAGACAATGGATAGCTATGCCTCATGGTTTATGGATACAATACAGGTATGATAAAACATTTATTAGATGCCTGCTGTTTGCACAGTGCCATGCTAGGTTCTATGAATGATAAAAAGTTTAAATAACATATGGTCCCTGCCATCAATGAACTTACAGTCTGGTAGATATGGGTTAGTATGGATGCACATTTAAAGGATGGAGGCTCTTTATCTCAACCCTCTTTGTGGAGAAGGGATTAACTTTTTTGAAGAGGGGAGTGAAAGGTTCTGTGATCTACACACTAATAAAGTCATGATGAAACTATATCTTATGAGAAGCAAATATTTAATTCTTTGAAAAAATCAATTAAAATTATTCTTCTTGTAATCAGACTTACACCAATCAAAATACAAACCAATAATTTTAAATCACTTTAAAAGCCCAAAAACATCCTTGTGTTAAAAAATTGAAGATCCCTACCTATCTACCTAATGATCAACATCTCCTCTAAGGAAATAAGAGACAGATTAAGTTCATTTATTGTGAAATAGCTCTATTGTGAAATACTTGAAGTTACACATACTTTACAAGACTGAATTTACTGAAAAAAAAAAGGCACTTTGTGACCCTGGGTAAGTCATTTAAACTATCTTTATCATTTAAACTTATGTTTAATCTGTATGTTTATGTTTAATCTCATCTGTAAATGAAAGGATTTATACTAATATGATCACTTTTCCAAACTGGTTTTTACAATTTTTATTTTCTTATTATTTAAAATGAACAGAACTCTGATCTTGAATGTGTGTGTTTTGTTAGAAAAGAAAGAATTTCATTGGGTACATGAAATATCACTGGAAAATATTCTTTTTTTTTTTTTTTGGACTAGGCCATGGGGTTAAGCTAGTAAGTGTTACGTGTCGGAGGCCAGATTTGAACTCAGGTCCTCCTGAATCCAGGGCCAGTGCTCTATTCACTGTGCCACCTAGCTGCCCCAAGAAAATATTCTAATAAAAATTATACACATTGAGAAGTTCCTACTAGTGGGTTTTCTTTCTATGACAAACTTTATAGGAGAAAGAATTCCAGAACTCACATCTGTAGAAACAAAAAGACAAGTCATCAATTGTTATTTTTAGCAAAAGAGAATTTTGGTTTTGAAATGAAAAAAAAAATAGTTGGTCTGTCATTTTACTAAATATTAAAGCTTATAATATTTGACCTTTGCATAAGGCCTTATATACATTATCTTATTTGCATCCCACAATAACCCTGTGAGATAGGTGCTACAGATAGTTATAGCCATTTTTAACATGAGGAAAATGAGCCTTAATGGAGTTAGGTGACTTACCCATGGTCAAATAGGTAGTAAGTGTCAGAAATAGAACTTGAATCTAGCTTTTCCTACCAACCATCCAGCATTCTATAAACCCTTGTAAATGGTTTTTCTATATATCCAAGTTCACACACACACACACACACACACAGAATGAAGACAGAATGCCAACAATTAATGGATATGACTATTACTCAGACATTTCTTAAAGATTTGTTGGCCTACAGCTCCTCTTTTAGAAGAGAAACTATATCTGTGTTAACACTTCATAATAAATTTAGGGACATCAGTTTGATTTCATAGGGAAAAAAAAGGATTGACCTCACTCTCTGATTAAAGAAAGCTTGAAAAGAAATACCTGATTCTAATCTGAAGAGCATAATTTCTAATCATCATAGCTTTTTTAAAAAGCAGTCAGTAGGAAAATACCAAAGTTTTAACTTTGGAGCACGAAAGTCATTTGGAAAAGCATGTCTGATTTTGGGTAGAAAGTATGAGTGATGCAATCACCACATAGAATGATGTCATTGAAGCATAGTTAGAGGACCATTTGCTCCAATGTCCCATTCACAAAGTTGTCCTCATTAATAACAACAAAAAAAAATAGTTGAATGTATTAGTCCCTCTTGAAATGAATTTAAGGTGAACTATGATTAAACTGAATAGTCCTCAAATCAAAAAAGTACTTTTTATAAATTGAATGAAAATATTTCCAAAGGATTATACTTCAACAATCCCAAGTATTTTAACCTGTATTTCTCAAGCCAACAGTAAACAGCGCATATTTTAAAGTTTGTTTTAGATCAGTGATTTTCCTCAGATGAATCTTGTATTGGTGAGCCCCTAAATTCAGCTTATTTTTTATGAACATGTTCCTTACAGATGAATTTTAATTTGGGGGGTAGGAAGCAATAATTTCAATTCAATTCAATAAATATATATTAAATGCCTACTATATTAAAGAGGCTGCCCTAGGTGCTGGGGATACAAAGAAAGCCCCTTACTTAAAGGACTTTATATTATATGGGTTTTACATTCAACCAGTAGTTGTTGTTGTTGTTGTTCTATACAGAATGAAACATTGTGAAGGTGGTATCTTTATCAAGTTGATAAGTGATAAAGCAATGAACTCATAGGGAGTGTGGTACAGAGAGGAAGAGCCTTGATTTGGAGTCAGAAGACTTCAGTTCATATGCTGATCCTGAAACTTAATACTCATGGGACCTTAAACAAATGATTAAGTCCTGATTATGAGAGTGTCTAGCATGTAGTAAGGTCTCAATACATCCATTTTCATTGATTTTGTGATCCTCATTGCCCTCGTCTGTAAAATAAGAGGTTGGATAAGATGACCTCTAAGGTTTCCTATCACTAGAAAACCCAAAGACCAAATTTACTTTGATGTGTAGAATCTGGCCCAGCCTTGAGTCAACAATGTTATTAGAAAACACTTTTGACAACTAACATTTGCTAGGCTCCCCCTGATGTATTGACTGAATTCATCCCTCAAATTACTACAATGGATAGCAGAGACAAGATTACTAGTAAGATTTTTTTCCCATTGACAAAAACTACTATTCTCAGATATTATGTCAAAACAGGCTACAAGAATAGTGAAATAAGAGGGATTTTAGATTTTGTATGTAACAGAACTCATTTGGTATATTGCAAATTAAAGTTTTGGAGACAAAAAATTTTGAACAGAAATTCATTCTCTACATGCCTATCTTAGAAAAGTCAGATAACCAGAAGCCAATTTCCCCTAAGGAGATAACTGAGTGGCAGCATCTTACTGCAAAGTGATTACAGCTGGAGTTGCAGTGATGCCAAAAAAACAAGCCAAAAAAGGATATCCAAACATTGCATTTCTCCTTGTTTTAGCTTACTGACATGGTTCATTTCACTTCATCCTCTTTCTCCCAGTGCCTTTATCATGTCAAAGTTGCTATGATGAAAATATTTTAATTTATTTTAATTTCTTGACATCTTTTCTCTCTCAACTACTCTTGTCCTAAGCTCTTTATCTGACCCTTCCCATCTTGACCTTGGGCTTGCCATAACCCTCTTGTATTTTCTAGTTGCAATGTCCTTTGTGGCCTCAAGAACTGAACACCTTATTTTTGCTGTATTTACTTTTTATTTCTTTAAAATTTATTTTCACAGCAAACAAGAGTCCTTAAAAAAACCTTTAAAAACAAATCTTATTTCTACACCTAACAAAATAAATGTAGTCACTATTCTTAACAATGTATCAAGTCCTAGCCTGTTCTGCATGAATAGTACTTCTGTCATTATTATTCACTATATTTAAAACTGTTAATGTGTACCTTTACCTATAATGATGTGTTGTTTGTTTTTTCTTTTATGCTAGTGGGTAGGTCTTTTGTGCTTTTAACTACATATGTGTAGAATTCAATTTGATTGTCATTTCTAGCATCCATAACACAGTTCTCTTTCTTTCCTCTAGTTAAAGTGGAGAAAAGTCCTCCTGTAAAGGGATTCCTTTCTGGAAAAGTCATCCTACCTTGCCACTTTTCAACTATGCCCACCTTGCCACCCAGTTACAATACCACAAGTGAATTTCTTCGTATCAAATGGTCAAAGATTGAACAGGATAAAAGTGGAAAAGATTTGAAAGAAACTACTGTTCTTGTGGCCCAAAATGGGAATATCAAGATTGGTCAGGGCTACAAAGGGAGGGTGTCAGTGCCTACCCATCCAGAGGATGTGGGAGATGCTTCGCTTACCATGGTCAAATTGCTTGCAAGTGATGCAGGTCTTTACCGCTGTGATGTTATGTATGGAATTGAAGACACACAGGACACTGTGTCATTGGCAGTAGATGGTAAGGTTTTCTTGCAATGTCTAAGCATCTTTTTTGATGGAATATACATGTTAACAACATTGAAAATTAGTAATTTAAATTAACCGTCTTTAACTATCTTATTCTAGGGTCATTCCGGTGGTACCAGAAAAGAAATAAACCCAACATTCTTCTCTAGTTATAAATTGCTGCTTATTCTGGGTAATGGGACAAGGAACCCTTCTTCCTTTCTTCCTTCCTTTCCTTCTCTCTTTTTTCCTCCCTCCCTAACTTCTTTTTTTAAAATTGTTTTTCCTCCTTAACTTCTTTCCTTCCTTCCATTCCTCCCTGCCTCCTTCCTTTCTTCCTTTCTTTTTCTTTCTTTCTTCTCCTTCACTTATCTTCCAAAATCACTTTATGCCTTTGGTTCGGACTTAAGCAATTTCAGCCATATTTACCTAGACAAAAGTGTCAATATTGATTATACTAATAAAGTATGAACATCTATTATTGCTCATTAATAAAACAATGTCTTACTTTACAATGCCATAATGATAATAGCTTCCATTTACTGAGGGTCGGGGCAGTGTGGTTCAGGATGCTGAACTTGGAATCACCAGACCTGAATTTGAACCCTGGCTCTGTCACTTACTACCTGTATGACCTTGGGCCAGACCCTTCAGTTCTCATCTATGAAATGAGGAAATTGAGTTAGATGAACTCTAGACTAACTCCAGATGATTCATTGAAGCTCTGAATCAGTGATCCTAAGATCTTATGTTATATAGGAAAGCAGTTTGGGTATAAAGGATAGAGCACTATTCTTACAACCAGGAAGATCTGAGTTTGAATCCTACCTTTGCCACTTACTATATTTGTGATGCTGTACAAAATCAACTAAATGCAACTTCATAAAACTCTTAAAGAGTATATTCTTCCTGGGTTGTGATCTCTGGGGATGGGGAGTTCACTCTCCCATGACAAAACAATTATAGGTCCTTGACACACATTTATACATTACTGCAAAATGATAACAATAATAGAAATGACCTTGCAGGATTATTGTGAGGATAAAATGTTGTAAATTGCTTTGCAAACTTCAACACATTAGACCTTTTTATGCAGTGCTTTCATGTATTATCCCATTTGATTTTTACTGTAATCCTTACTAAATGCTGCAGTGTCTAGCACTGTGCCTCACACATATCAGAAGCTCAATAAATATTGAACTTGAATTATATAAAAATAGCTGCAGAGCAGAAGGAAGAAAATATCTCAAAAGGTTAATTCATTAATTGTTCCTTCTTATGCTTCTCAAAGGGAAATTTCTCCCTTACCAGCCATGGTTTGATTATGATTTAAATATTTAAATTAACAAACCAAATAGAAATAATTGTATTTATTGGGCTTGTGCTGAATGACATAGCTCTTAGAAACAGAAGATTTTGTTGAATTTTCCCCAGAATTGTAATGTTGGGGCATGTTGTAGCAGATTAATTTTCTTCCAACTATCGGTTTTCCTATAAAATATTTAACTTTCAGAGATATATAGGGGGTATTTATTAAAACTCTTTCTTGTGTTGCCAGAAAGGAAATACTTTGCATTTCAGATGCAGAAAAATATCTTCCTGCACATCCTTTTGTCTACAGATTCAGATACTTCCTTTTATAATTCTGTTTTTGTGCTTGCCAAAAACTCACCGAAAAACCGAGGCCTTTTCTAATCTGTTTTCCAGTTAGTGTTTACTCCCGAATTAGTCCCAAGTTGGTTGTTTTTTCTGATTTATTTTGTTTTGCACAAAGAACAATCTCAACAGAGGTTTTTGAGCATTAAAAAGCAAACAATGGATTTGTCTTTTTCCCTTCTGAAACCATGAAAATCTTGTGCTTAATCTCTTTAGCCCCATGGGGTCTCATAATTATTCCAGCCATGGCAGAGCCTGAAACATACTAATGTATTCTCCATTCATCACATAGACCCCTTTTTTGTCCACCTAATCATCAGTGGCACATGAATTCTAAATGCAAAGACGTCAAAGCCTAATTTTTAGGTCAGAGTAAGAAGAATACAGAGTTGCCTAAATTCGTTCTGAGGCCTTCAGATGACTATAGACCATGTATTGAAACCCTAAAACCAAAAACTTCTCAAAAAATAACAGTGATGTGAACTTTTTTTGGACAGATTGTGTGGAGATGCTTATCTTTTTGTGTCAATTTATACAAGGTCATGAGATAGGAAACATCAGCAGGGAGAAAAGTTCATAAGGACAAATATATTCATGGATTGGAGATGGTTTAACTGGAAAGTTAATTTTGCCCATGCAAAACTTTTTCTGTTGTACTGGTCACTGGAGCTTTATCAATGGAAATGCAATGTTACATCAAGTTAGCTGCTTATTGGAATAACACTATCACGTGCCATAGATTTAGAGTAGGGCATAAGTGATGGTATTAAGAGGGCAAACAGCATCTCAGACATTGGCTAGCTGTGTGACCTTGGGCAAGTCACTTAACATTTATTTGCCTTAATCCACTGGAGAAGGGAATGGAAAACCACTCCAGTATCTTTGCCAAGAAAACTCCATGGACAGTATGGTCCATGGAGTCATTAAGAATCAGACAAAATGACTACTGATGGAATCTTGCCTTCTTTAAATTCTAGTTGTCCCCAGATCCTAATCCCTTTGGATTGCTCAGTCTCAGGAGCAGTCATGTAGGAAAAAGAATAAGAAAATGTAAAAGAAATCAATGTTTCTATACCTATCTGCCTCCTTTAATTCTTTACTGCTAGATTCTGGGTAGGGGTTCTTAGGATGGTTCTAGATCACAGATCTAGAACTGAACTGGGGGGCAATATGCTTAATGGCTTTCCCAAGGGCCTTCCTGGGGCCCCTTCCACACCATTAATAAATGATCTGTTAATACATGATGTTGACCCATCTTATTGGGAGGCTGTTTTACAACCTTGGCTTTTTGGTCTCTTCTTTTTAAGGGTTGTTTTGTGCTTGACAGTTAGCAGGCACAATGGACATAGAGCTGGCCACGAGGACCTAGGTTCAAATTTCTGTGTGTGTGTGTGTGTGTGTGTGTGTGTGTCTCTCTCTGTGTGTCTTTCATACACACAGACATAGGCTGTGTGACCCTAGGCAAATTACTCAACCTCTCAATGCTGCAGGCAAACCTCTGAGATTATAAATTGCAGGGAAAGTGGCAATCTGCAGTCATTAAGGGAGTTTTCCTCAGGTTCTAATCCCTAATCCTCTCTCTTATGTCTTGTGCTTAACAGAAATTAAAGAGATGAAGTATCATATCATAATTACTGTCTAATTAGATATCCACACATCACCTCACTGAAAAATGGCTCCACAGGGTCTAAATGATAAGTTAGGGAAAACCAAGTCTAAGTCAAGCCAACAACTGGCATTTATTAAATCCCAGTCTATGTGGGCAATAAAAATGGTTTGCTTTAGTTAAGGGTAATAAGGTGTGGACTCTGTTATAGTCGTCCTGTGGGATAGTAGTCATACTTTTAACCTGTATTTCTTTGAAGAATGTTGTGAAGTTAAAGTCTTATAGATGACAACTTGCTATTCCATACAGGTTATCTGTGCCAGGCATATAGTATGCATCTTAGTTTTGTCTATCATATCTCTATTCCCATGGAGGGGAAGGAATACATATTGTTCAGGAGTCTGTTCGATATGGGCATTTTGCACCCATTTGCCGAGTCAGCTTTTAAAAAAATTATGAAGTAGGCAAAGGTTTATTGCAGGCAAAAAACAATCCCTACTCTCAATGGGGGAGCCTAATTGGGAGACAATATTTAAATAACTGTGTACAAAGAAGTTATATGTGGCATAAACTGGATATAGGGAAAGGGAAGCCACTAAAATTAAGAGATATTGGGAAAGGCTTCCTACAGAAAGTAGGAGGTTAACTGGGACTTGAAGCCAGGGAAGCTGGGAGGCAGAGATGAACAAGGGGAACATTCCAGGCATGATGGAATAGTTAGAGAAGATGCCTAGGATGGGGGAATGGACTGCATTGTTTGAGAAACAACAAGGAGGAAGAAGTTACTGGATCACATTGTGTAGGGGTGGGGTATAAGAAGACTGGAAAGGTTGGGAGGGATAAGTTGTGAAGGGCTTTAAAAGACAAACAGGAAGTGAGGCAGATGGAGGTTAAATGACTTGCCCAGGGTCACACAGCTAGAAAGTATCTGAGGCTGGATTTGAACTCAGGTCTTCCTGACTCCAGGCCCATACTTTATTCATTGTACCACCTACTTGCCTCATATGTACACTTCTAAAGTTGATACCTGGAGACAACAGAGCTTAAACCAAAAGAATAAATCTCTAATGGCGACTTCCAGTGATGGTTGCCATTTGGAAATGTTAAATTATACCATTAGTAGGTAATTTCTAATGTATGAGGCTGGCTCAGCCCATCTGTGACCTTGCTTTGTTTTTTAATTTGGTTTACCTAAGTACAAGAAATTAAAGTGTTGAGGCCATCACATTATGATCACTATCTAATTAGATATAAGCATATTACCCCCAGTGAGAAATTTCACATATTATTGTGAGAAACTTTAGTACAGCCTTAATCCCTTGATGGTGTTCTGCTCTCTTTTGCAGGGGTTGTTTTTCATTATCGAGCTGCAACCAGCAGGTATACTCTGAATTTTGAGAGGGCTCAGCAAGCTTGCTTGGAAAATGGTGCTGTAATAGCAAACCCCGACCAGCTAAAAGCTGCATATGAAGATGGATTTGAGCAATGTGATGCAGGCTGGTTGTCTGACCAAACTGTGAGGTGAGAAATCCAATGTAGACAGTCTAGACTTCAATTATCCAGAAATCTGTTGGTTCTCTCTCTCTCTCTTCTCCTTTCTCCCTCCCTTCCTCCCTCTCTTCCTCCCTCCCCCCCCCCCTCTCTCTCTCTCTCTCTCTCTCAACTTGACTTTAGTTCTTGGTGAAATTTTAGAGTATATTTTTAAAGGGATGACAGATGAGTATTTAGAATGGGAAACAGTGTTTGTGAAGTATCAGTATAGTTTCATCAAGAACACATTGTTCTAGATGAAACTCATTTCCTTTTTCTACCAGATTATAAAAATGGCAGATTTAGGGAATCTTGCTGATGTAGTTTATTTTGGTTTTAACAGTATTAGATACAGTATTTCCCATTATTTTAGTGGAAAAGATGGGTGACATGAACTAAATGATAGATCTGGGACAGTGATAGTAGTTATTAAGAGTCAACACTAAAAGAGATCTTTTCTAATTGCCTTAGGGGTGTGTGCTTAGTCTTGCTCTGATGTTTTATTTTGTTTTGTTTTAAATGATTGAGTTGTATAAAGGCTGGGATGGTATGCTTATAAAACATACTGCTAGCACAAAACTGAGAGGAGTAGCTAATAGCCAGAAGATGGAGACAATATTTTATTTTATTTTTTAAAAAATTAAATTTTTTTATTTTCAGTTCTAAATTTTCTCCCTCCAATCCCTCCTCCACCCTTGAGAAGACAAGAAATACAATGCCCATTATACAGTTGAAGTCATGCAAAACACTTACACATTAGCCATGTTGTAAAAAAAAAAAAACACGAAAAATAAAGTGAAAAACAATATGCTTCAGTCTGCACTCAGAGTTCATCAGTTCTTTCTGGAGGTGGACAGCATTTTTCATCATGAGTCCTTTGGAATTGTCATGGATCATTATATTGATCAGAGTAGCTGAGTCTTTCACAGTTGATTATTGTTATGAGACTGTTCTCCTAGTTCTTTGTTCTCCTAGTCACTTTGTATCAGCTCACAAAAGAGAGACAAGAGTTTAAAAAGGTAGGCTAGGGTATTAGGCTGAATTGAGCAAGACGAAATTTAGTAGTGTTTAATGTAAAGTCTTACACTTGGCTTAAAAAAATCAACTTCATAATACAAGATGGAGGACACGTAGCTGGACAGCAGTTTGCTGGAAAAAGATCAGGGATTTTTTGATGGACTGCAAGCTTAATCACTTAACAGTGTGACGTAGCAGCCAAGAAACCTAGTGCAAACTTAGCAAAGCATAACATCCAGGAATAAGGGGGTGATCATCCCACTAAACTTTGCCCTAGTTAGAAAACAATTAGAATGTATTTTTCATTTCTGGATGCCATAATTTAGGAAAGACCCAGAGAAGCTGGAGGGCAATCAAGATGGGGAAAGGTTTCAAGTCCATGCCATGCAATGATCATTGGAAGGAATTGGGGTCATTCAGCGTGGAAGAGAGAAGACTCGGGGGTGGGTGGGACATGACAGTAAACCTGAAGTATTTCAATAGTGAAAATATGCTAGTAATGAAGCATTATCCTATGGACAAGGGATTAGGCTTATTTTTTTTTGGCCCCAAAAAGCAGAACTCAGAGCAAAAGGTAGAAGATGCAAAGAGGCAAATTTCAGTTTGATGTAAGAAAAATTTCCTAATAATTAAGCTTTCCCAAAGTGAAATGGTTGCCTCAGAAGGTAGGAATTTTACCCCTCATCAAGCATCTTTAAGCAAGGGTTTCATGGTCATTTGTGAGGCAGTATACATACATACATACATACATACATACATACATACATACACATATATGTTAATAGATTGGAGTAGATGGCCACTGAGTCTTTCCGGACCCTAAAATTCTATGTCTGAAAGAATCCATGAATTCATTTAAGAAGAAATTAGCTAGTGGATTTAGAGCTGGAAGAAAACCTCAAACTCTTCTGGTCCAACCCCCTCATTTTTATATATAAGGAAACTAAGAACTGGAGAGGTCAGTGACTTGGCAACACCACAAGTAATAAATGGTGGACCCACAAGTTCTTTGGCTCCACGTGTGAACCTCTGTGCACTCTAACTTGCTACCTTTACCATGATTACCTTCTTTCAGATATCCCATCAGAGCACCCCGAGCTGGCTGTTACGGAGATATGATGGGAAAAGAAGGAGTCAGAACATATGGCTTCCGTGCTCCTCATGAAACCTATGACGTATACTGTTATGTGGATCATTTAGAAGGTAAGCAACCTCAAGTTTCCACAGGTCTCTGAAAGCTAACAATATAGATGAAAACTTGACATGAGGATGGAATCCCAACAGATCTCCCCTTTTGCTATGCAGAACCAGAAAAAGCATCTAGCTGAAAACAACCCTATGGTTATGTGGTGTAACTGGCTTAAATTAACATTGAAGCTGGAGGAAAGAAACCTAAAAATGGCCCATCAGGTTTGGGATTTCTATACTTAGGGGCAGTTCTTTCTGCAAAGCTTTTCTTGGATAATTTCCAATGTGCATTTAGAATGTCCTGAACAGAAGGCTATAATAGCCATAGAGAGGAAAGTTGGCATTCACTACACCCACAACTTCAGGTAATAAATTAGGTGATGTCAAGTTACCTTTCAGACCCAATACTGAGATTTTCAGTGGGAGAATAGAATCATAGAGGTTAGAAGAAACCTTATAGGTCATCTCATTTTACAGATGAAAGACCCTCCAATTTTACAGAGAAAATTGAGGCTTGGCAAGGTCCAGTGACTTACAGAAAGTCATGTAGCTAGTAAGTGGCAAAGTTAGCATTTGAACTCAGATGCTGTGACTCTCAGATCAGGGTTTTGTTCATCACAAAGCAAACCAAGAAACTCCAGTGTAGCACTGGAGAACTTTTCCTTGATATCTCCTTCATCATGCTTGGGTATAATAATAGCATATTATAAGTAAAATTACAAATAATATAATAATTGAGAATAAATAGCATATACTATTTGTTATTTTTGTCATCATTACTGGTTTTGGACCATACTTATGATTTCATTGGTTTAGGGAACTTTTGGTTAGGAAACTCCCTCCACCAATGCAGGCCACATCTGCTCTGTGACTTCCAGTATTAGAGGGTTGCCTGAGGCATTGAGGAGTTAAATGACTTGCTCAGGGTCACAGCCAAGATGTGTCTGAGGCAGGACTCAGGGCTAGCTGACTCCAAAGCCGATTCTCTAACCACCAGACAGTGCTGTCTCCTTAAGATGAGTTGTTATTTCTAATTCAGAATAGAATTGCAATTTTATCACGTTTTCCCATTTTTAATGGTTACTTAAAAAAAAACATGGCTTAAATGATGTCTACATCTTCAAGGCCTGAAGCAGCATGTTCAATAAAAGGGGATGAGTTTTAATATTTGTTATAATGAAGTATTAATTACATCAACAAATTTGTCAAGAGATCAAATTATAAATAGTTCTACCTTAGTAGGACTGTATTCTTAGACTAGTCCAGATTTACTATTCTGAGGTGACTATAGAAGTAGAAGGATCATCCCCGTAGCCTCATTCATTTACTCATTCATTCATTCATTTGCTCATTCATTTATTCAATAGACATTTATTAAATACTTTCTATATATCAATGTGCTAGCCACTGAGAGAGACACAAAGTTTAGATAAGACATAGTTTCTGCTTTACGAAGTTTGCAGTCTTAAATTCCTGCTGCGCTATAAAAGATCTTCGGTTTTTCCTACGAAATAGATTATTAATCTCTAGAATAATTCCCTGAGGGTTGGAGCCCCTTCCCTTTCCTCAGTTCCCTATTGCTCTAGGAACATCAAGAGAGTCATCCCCTAAAACAAAAGCTAACCAACTCCTCGAGTCTGTATGTATGTATGCAATGTTCCATACTCACAATTCCTCACTTTTACAAAGAGGTTACAATGGTGCATTTTATCCTCTCTTCTTCAGTGTATGCCATTACAATCATGCACCACAATTTGTTCAGCCGTTTATCATTTTATTATTCTTGATGAGATTACTTGGAAAACATGCTGTTAGTGTTTGATTAAGCACTATTATGCTTCCAGAAAGTGATGAGGAAAACCTTGGAGTACAGAACTTAGATTAAATTTGAGATGGGACATTTATACCAAATCAGAAGAATATTACCTGTTTCCAACACTTTCATTTCTGATTTAATATCTAAAATATGGAGAGGCAAGAAAGATTCTATGTCTCAAAGGCATTATGAACAGCACAGGACATTAAACACAGGCTGGAGTTTGTCTGAATAGGACTTCATGTTGCAGTTCCCACTAACCAGCTACTTAAATCAGTCTGAGACTGTTGCTTGTTTCTAAGGAGAGGCCTTGAGAAATAGCAGAGAAAATCAGAATGTTCCCAGTTACGTTGTTCTGATCATTCTTCCTTCCTTGGTTGGTTGGCCTTTGGAAACCTTGGCAAATTACTCAGTATTCTTTTCCTTCTTGGCTTGGAATGGAAGGTTGCAGAGTCCTTATACAAATGTTAAGTTAAGGCAAAGAGAGAAAGGAATACAAGATAATTTATGATGTAAATTTTATAATATCATCACTGAAATAGAACTCTTAACCTGGAGAGAAAAGGCCAATTACTAAATTATAATTAATGTGGAAAACCAAGACAATGAAGTTATACTCAGGGCTTCTATTTGCTGCATAACAGAAGATTCCCATGAAAATGGGTCATAATTTTTCTAAGTTTGTTATTATATTCAATTGTATCATACGCCTTGCTTTTATCCTAAATCATTCTTTGGAGCCAAGAGTGTGTGGGAGGGTGTAATCTTTACAGAAATTGATATTCTTAGAATGTATATCATTGAATGATTTGGACAGTAGTTGGGAGCCAAAGTACCTTGACCTTGGATCAGAAGTCACATTTTACCAGATGGTTTTACAAAGCCAAGAAAGCTAAGAATGAAGGGGATTGTAGTTCAAAGACGTAATTAATTTATAGTTTTAATTTTGTTATTTATTGAGAAAGATGCTTATTTAGTTAACATTTCAACTTTCCTTTTTCTTCCTTTCTTTTATAATAAAGTCATAGTTAAGTATTCCTCCTGGCACATAGTTTCCTCCATGAAGTCCAAACAATTGGACTAAATTAAATTCAGCCAGATAGGATAAAAAACATATGCGTGCTTTAAAAAAAACAATCTTAGGAGAGTCACAGATATTAAACTACGGCTATAATTATGAATCAAATACTTAGTAGCAGTTAAAAAAACAATAGAATAGGAGAACAATTATAATTAGCTCCCTAAGAGCAGGCAGATATAGTTGAGGAAAAAAAATCTGCCATTATGGTAGATCATTAGCCATGATTCAACAATGAAGCACTATTGTTAAGAAGTCTGTGAAGAGGGATTTATAAATGGGACTCTAGCATGGCAGAGCTATGCTAATCTTTGGGGGTAGGATTGCTTCATCTTTGACTTTGTTTCCCCATTACCTAACACAGTGCACATAGCACATGGTAGGTTCTTAATAAATAGTAGGTGCTTGTAGATTGATTGATCCTTGATTACTAATGAGGTATTTAATAAAAGATCTACTTTGTATGACTGTTAGACTAGTCTTTTAAACACCATTTGTGTTATGTCAAATACCTACATAAGAATATATAATAACTTTCTGTCACTTATCAGAGAAAGTACAAATTCCTCTATCTGGTTTTAAGTTCCTACATAAATCATCACCATTCTCTCTACCTTTCCACCCTTGTTTCACCCTTCTTTACTTTCTAGTCAATTTCTCTCAGTCTTCTTACTGTTCTTCTCTGCCCTCCTTCTCTGACCCTCCTCCAACCCACCCCACCCCAAAGATATTCTTCCCTCTGGTCTGGTTCATTACACTCATTCTCATTCTGTTCTCTTGGATAAATTCCTACCTGTTTGCCCACTCCTTTTCAGTTTCCTTTGCTGGATCCTTACCCATGTCACACACACAAATTGTATGTGTCCCCCCAAGACTCTGTCTGTGTTTCCCATAGATTCTCACCCTACATTCTCTCTCTGGTTAACTTCACAAGCTTCTGTGAGTTAAGTTATCTGTATGCTGATGGCACTCAACTCTCTATTTCTAGCTTTAGTTTCTCTACTTAACCTTAGTCCTGTATCATGAACTGCCTATTGGACATTTTAGATGTCCTGTAACATCTCTCAAATTCAACATGTCCCAAAAAGAACTTGCTACCTTTCCCCCAAAACCTACCCCTCTTCTGACCTTCCCTATATTGTTAAAGAAAGTGCCCAAGTTTGCAGCCTCAGTGTCTTCTGCTGTCACTCATACCATATATCTAACCAACTGCCCAATCTTGTCATTTCTATCTCAGTCATTTTTTGGATATATGACTTTCTTTCCACCCACACAGTCATCACCCTAGTTCAATCAATCAATAAGTATTTATCAATTAATTTATTATTATTATTATATACTTTATTAATTAATGCTTTCTTATGTGCCAGGAACTGTTCTAGGCCTTGTATATAGAAATACAAAGAATAAAGCAATCCTTAATTTCAGGGAGCTTAGATTTATAATGAGGGATACTAACAGTTGGGTATTCAGCCCCTCATCACTTCTCACCTGGATTACTGCAATAGCTTCTCATTTAATCTCGTTACCTAACATTCCCCCCTACTCAAACCTTTCTCCTTACAGTTACAAAAGTGATTTTCTCAAAGGGCAGGTCTGACTATGTCACCTCCTACTAAATAACTTTTAGAAACAAATATAAAATCCTCTCTCTGGTACTTAATATTATTCTTCTTGACCTAGCCCCTAACTACCTTTCCAGTCTTCTTACATATTACTCCCCTCCACATACTTTGTAGTTTGGCTAACTTACTGTTCCTCACATACATTTCATCTTCTAACCCTGTCTTTGCACTGGTTTTCTCTTCCTTGTATTGCTCTGCCCTCTCACCTCTATCTCTTTCAATCTTTGATTTCTTTCAAAACTTAGCTCATACCTTCTGCCTTCTACCTTTAGCTTTCCTTCCTTTCTTCCTTCCTTCCTTCCTTCCTTCCTTCCTTCCTTCCTTCCTTCCTTCCTTCCTTCCTTCCTTCCTTCCTTCCTTCCTTCCTTCCTTCCTTCCCTCCTTCCCTCCTTCCTTCCCTCCTTCCCTCCCTCCCTCCCTCCCTCCCCCCTTCCCCCCTTCCTCCCTTCCTTCCTTCCTTCCCTTCCTCCCTCCCTCCTTCCTCCCTCCCTCCCTC